AGAGTAATTTATAAACTATATAAGTGAAATTTATTATTGTAATGTTAAATTAACTTCCCCCCAAAAAACTCCCCACTTTTTTGTACCACCAGTTTTTAGCTCACACATCAAAGACCATTATAATGTAAGCTTCCTGAGGACAGAAATGTTTTCATTTTCGTCCTAGTAGCTCCCAGTGCGTAGCACAGTGCCTTGAGCAAGGCAGGAACTTAATACATTTGTCAAGTTTAATTGAAATCGAATCAGAATTATTTGCATATATATTTTATTCACCATACAGAACGGTTTCTCTGTCCTATTAAGCTCTGTAACCTTGCTCCTTTTTTCCAGCACCTGGCAGAATGCCTTACTGCTTGTAGGTGCTCAAGAGATGCTTATTGAATTGCTTTCCTCCTCTCACTAAAGGACTTTGGATGCAGAATGGCTGAGGTGTCCACCTGTTTTAGTTGACTGTTTAACTTTGTTCTCAGGTATGGTTCTGTGTGTGTGTTTGTATGGATGTGTGTGCCATTTGGAAGAAACAATGATTGTTATAGAGTCATCAATATAACAAAACCACTGTGTGTAGATTGAACTGAACCCAATTGTTATTGTCAAGTGGCTTTCAAATCTCTCTCTCTCATAGACTTTCTACTATTGTCTCTTCAGGCCAGACCATCGATAGAAGAATCAGATGCCCATCTGGATCTCCCCCCACCCCACCTCTTCCTCCAAAGGATTGATTTATGGACTTCTGGGAATCTGGTTAGAATTAAGGCCAGGGGGTGTATTACTAGGGGATCTCAGAAGCTGGAGGGTGGACGTGTAATATGCCAATATGTATTAGGAGCTCAGATGGAAGAGGGCTTGGTGGTGCAGCTCTGGGACAGATTGAACTCTCAAGTTTCCAGTGGCTCAAGGAGATTCCACGGTTAAGTCATCATACACATTTGCACACACACACAGTTCTAGATGCATACACTTGGATACCTCCTCCTACTTTTATATACTTAGAAATACAAAGCTTTGGGGATGGCTCTGGGAGGGGGAAGAAAGGGATACTTGGAGAAATTTTGGTGATGTAAAAACAAAACATATCAAAAAATTTATTATTAAAAAAAGCAAAGCAAAGATTTCTTTGGGGATTGGAGAAGAGGAGAAGTAGGCACTTGTGATTTCATTAGCATGGAGAACTTCTGGTGTGGAAACTCCATTCCCACCTTTGATGCAAATCATCAATCAATCTGAGATTTAGAGCAGTAAGAATTGGCTGGAGGTGCTAAGAAGTTACGTCACTTTCTACTGTCACATAGATATTGTCAATGACAAGATTTGAAGTCAGATCTTCATGACTGCAAGACCCATTGTTTGTACAGATTCATACTCATATACTTTCACACACCTAACCCCACCCCACCTCTCACCAAATCTTAATCTAAATGGTCTACGTCTGTGACCGTGGCTCTTTCAACAACACTTAAAGTCTCTGCAAATGTGATTGAGTCTAAAGAAATTTAGAAATTAAGAAAAATAGGATTGGAGCGGGGAGGGTATGATGTGAGGAGAGCAGGGCAGAATAGAGTGGGGCAAAGGAAAGAGGAGCAGGGAATTAGTCTTGGTCACATTTACAAAAACTTCATGTTGCTGTTAAATGAAATTAGAAAGATTTCCCCACAGTCACTCATACTCCTCATTCCTGGTCCTTCTCTCGCTTTACCACTGGGCGACAGCAAGGAGGGCCAATGAGTGAGAATGACGTTTCATAAGCCGTCACTGTGCTATCACAATGGAGCCCTGGCCTATAGCCAGTATGGTAGGAGACAAAGCTGAATTCTGTGGAAATAGAAAGAGGAAGATGGGTAGCCTTAGGGCTTTAAAAGATGGACTTGTTTGGGAAAACTTCAGTTCTGTTGCCACTGGAGAATGGGATTGGGGTGGGGGAGGACATGGAAGCAGAATAGAGGAGAGGGGGACAGAGAAGAGAGGAGGCATGGACATGGGGAAGAGAGGAAGAAGGAAAACAGTTGTGGCAGAAATAGAAAGAGGATTAAAAAAAAACAACCAAAGGGAAGAAAAAAGGGAAAGGATCAGAGAGTGGGGGTGGGGTAGGGTGGGTGGGCAGAGAAACCTTTGGGCACATGGGGAAGAGAAACAGAAAGGGAGATTTGATCTAGGGTAGGCAAAGAACAGCTGTGGGGAACAGGATTCATGCATCTCCCAAGTTATTTCAAACAGCTCAACTCTCCCCTGATATGGTTTGTTTCTCTGCCTTTAACCTTTTCTTTTTTCCCAGGGGCTCCCTGTGCTCTCCTCCCCAGAGCCCTGCACTATAATCTTTCCCTACACCCCTCATTCCAAATATCCTGATTCTCCCTATGTCCTGTCCCTACCTTTCTCATACCCCTAGACTAACCATTTTAATTACACTCTCCTCCTTCAGAATCCTTCTGTCCCCCTTAAATTCTAAGCCAGTCGAGAGACTTCCCTCCTTCCTGACAGGAAGTCTCCATTTGGGCTAAAACAGAAAGAGCTCTTACCCTTTTTTTCCATCTTGGCGGTGCCCTTTATGTGAGGATGTCACTTTCCCTCTCTCCATCTCAATATCTGATTCCCCTCCTCTCCCCTAACCCAACCTTACCAGCTTAACACTGTGGGGTCTTAAGTGTTTATTCACAGGATCTCAAGAATTTTAAGTGGGAAGGGAATTTAAAGGTCATCTAGCTCAATGCCTTCATTTTACACATCAGGAAACTGAGGCCCAGAGAAGTTAGGAGACATGCAGGTGGCAGAGAGGGGATTTAAATCGAGTTCCTCTGACTTGAAATCCAACACTCATCCCATAACACCATTTCCACTCTTGTCCGTCTCCTCTTTCACCACGACTGTCCCCACGCTGATGAAATCAACAGACCTTTGGGGCCATTGAAGTATAGAGTATTGCTAGCTTCTTGTCTGTCTCATCTCCTGCCTCCTAACCTCTCAAGTGTCCAGCCACTCTGTGAGACCTCCCAGCCTTCCCCCCCACCCCTTCCCCATCCCTGCCACTTTATGTGGTCCCAAAGGATACTTCCATTCCACAATGCTGATGCAGGCCTTCCTCAGGGGGTTCTGAAGGGTGAGGCAGAACAGTGCCCGGGGTGGTCGGGGCAGAATCTCAGGAACCGGCTTCTTAGGTTGCTTCTTCTTCTGGTTCTCGTCCTGGGGCGAGGAGGGCTCCATGCTTTCCCTGGTCGCTGTTGCCTTCTTCTCAGTCTCCCCTGCCCTGCCCGCCCCCTCCTTCTTCCCTGCGCCTGTCCTGGAGGGCTCCTTGCCCCGGACTGGACAAGCCTGGGCTCGGTGGCTGCTTGAGATGGGCTGGGGGTGGGGATGGGGGCAGGTGGGTGGCGTGTGTGTAAAATTAGCCCCAGCTTGGCTCCCTGCTGTGCTTGAGTGACTGAGGCCAAGGGGCAGCTGTCACTCCTTTCCTCGCCCATGCACTAGCCTGGAGGTGGTATAGGAAGCGATATTCCGCCCATATTTTGGGGTTGGTGAGTGTAATGTGCTTGAGGAGAGGCTTTTAGGGTGGGGGGGACAGAAAGCAGAGTGTTTGAAGCCTGTTTCTGCTTCCCTTAGGACATGCCTTGGGGGGTAAAAGAAGCAGGAATAGGCTTCAAAACCAGGCCCTCTACCTCTAGATCCTATGCTCCTTCCACTGTAGCACTGTATCTGTCCTAAAACTGAGCCCTCTAACTCCAGCCCCACCAAAAAACCAACCAAACAAAAAAAAAAGCCAAGGGAGAGGAAATGGCCTGCAGCCCAGTTCACCTCTCAGTGACAACTTCTCCCTCCTTCTAACCTATTTTGCCCTAAGCCCAGACTCCTCTTTCTGACCTGGGGGTAGCTGAGGACTGGGTTGGAGAGTTACCGTCCTGACACCAGGCTGGCATCTAGCTTAGTTAGCCTGGAGACATCATCAGTCTGGAGGCCTTTCCCAGGAGATCCATTAGGAAGAGCTCTGGGATGAGAGGAATGTGAGGGATGAGAGTAGGAAGAGAGGGGACAATGGCTGGGGAGGGACAGGCTGCTTTTGAGAGAACACCAAAAAGTCAAGAAAAGCTTTTATTAAAACCTGATATGTAGCAGCAGGGTGCTGGGGGTGGCACACATAGACCCTGCCCTCAAGAGGCTTGCAGGATAAAGAAGAGAAACTAAGAAAAGGGAGGAGGTGCAACACGGAGTAATACGACAGTGACACGCTTCACTCTGCCACTCCCTCTCATTGCATTTCTGGATGAAGGCTGGCTCAAATGGGTAGTCATAGACTCCAAAGAGATCATGGAATGGGACACAGGTGTTGCGTATACACCCGGGGACCAGAGAGTGGTGGGACTTACCTCGGAAAAGGTAAAAGCACAGAGCTCAATTTTATTCATTCTGCCTGCTTTGACCTCAGAAAGAGCTTGGAGGAATAAATCCCACAATGTCCCACCTCCCTATTCCCTATGTGTTCTCCTCCCTTTATGTCATGGCCTAAGCAGCAGAGGAGGTGAGGTTCTTGGTGAACTCAGAATGGGTTATCTCAAATGAGATAATTTTGGAAAAACTTTAGCACAGATGCCTGGCATACAGTAGGTGCTCAATAAATGCTTGTTCCCCTTCCCTTTTTGTTGTGAGTTGTTGGGTGGTTGTGGGGGAGATAGTGTGGCGGTGTCTTGTCTCATCAGCCTGGACTTTTGATTTTTTCATTGCAAGAAACTCTGGATTAGGACAACTCCTACTATTACAAATTGGCAACTGTCCTACCATTTAGAGTCACAGTGAATTGGCTGGAACCGGGAGGAGATGCTAGAATTTTGGAGTCTGGAGCCATCTGGTGGGGATTGTGGGGTACTGCACAACACATTCAAAAGGTTCACCTACAGGTACTTTGCATCTGGCCCACATTGATTCCCAGGCACCTTTAGAGAGTGTGGGATGAAGAAGATGAATTGGTAGAGAAATGCCAACCATGTCAAACCTCTTCCCATCTGAAGCGCCTGTACTGTTATCCTTCTTGAGTCAAAGTAAAAGGGACAAAGAGAGAAAGGGGAGGGATTGTAGGCACGAGGGGGATTCAGTGACTAGATTCCTCTGATTCACAGAAGGGGGATGAGGAAAAGTAGGATGAAGAGGAAGACTCTGGGACCTGGGAGGAAGAGGCCTTGGATTCACCGTCACTGGTGCAGTCTGTTAGAGGGCCAGGTGGAGGGTTGGGAGCTGGTCCTCCACCCAGGAGACCACCTCCAGCGGTGGAAGCTGTGCTTTCTGGGGCTGTGCTAAGCAGGTCTTGCAGGTATTTGATGTAGCGGATGGCAGCTCGAAGGGTCTCCACTTTGCTGAGTCTCTTCTCTGCCAGCGCACCTGGAAGGTGCCCCCGGAGCCGGGCGTAGCCCTCGTTGACACACTTCACCCTCTGCCGCTCCCTCTCGTTGCGTTTCTGGATGAAGGCTGGTTCAAAAGGGTAGTCATAGACTCCAAAGGGGCCGTGGAATGGGACATAGGGGAACACCCCACCATATGTGTCATAATAGGCTGGCTCCACATTGCTGGGGTAGAGCAGGAAAGGCATGCTCATTAAGGACTCAGTAGGGGGGAGGTGGGAATGCCCAGGAGGGGCCACGATCCCCAGCTGCATACAGCTTGGGGAAGCCACGGATCTCCGGTCCACCAAGGCCCGACAGAAATTATTGTTCATGATCACCGATCAAGACAGACCCAGAGGAATCCCTCCTCTCCACGGTCTAAAGAGAAATCTACCTTCAGGGTGTAAGTCACATCACTAGCCACAGTTTAGATTTGGAAAGAGATGTTGGAGTTTTGTCTCCTTAGAAAGGTGTCTGGGGGCTTCCAGGCTCTAAGATAAGCCATTACTCCTGAAAAAAAACCTTCTTCCCTCAAAGCTAACCAGTTTCAACTGCAATGCTGGCTGCTGCTCAGGAGGCCACCTGGTCACTCTCTCCAACCTCCCAGTTTCCCATGGGCAAGTCACAAACCTTTTCACTGCACTTTTTCAGTAGAAGGAACATAAATGAGTCTTTCTGGTTCTATCTCTGGGATTCCATTCCTCAGACACATACAAGTTCGCTTCTTTTTTTTCCTTCAGAACATAGACAAGGAGGAATTTCACAAGAGAATTGATGGTCAACTCCTGGGAATTGTGGGAAGAAATCTAGATGCCCTTTAGGGAGCCAAGGAAATGAGGATGGTTGTTACAGTTGAAGCTGCCCAGCAGATTGTCCCAGCAGCACAGAATCAATTTTTCTAAGGAAAAGAAGAATAAAAATGTCAGTCATTATGAGGATCTTTCTGGTGGCCAAATTCCCAGCATCAATGACCAGTCAACCAAGTGATTGGCCAACAACCTAACAGTGGAAAAAATCCTTTCCTTGCTGAAGCAGTCTAATTAGGTCAGGCTTCTTTACTCAGAGAAGGCAGGGATATTCATCTAGAAAAATTAATGAATGTTCATTCTACCTACTCTTGTGTTTAGTCTTATCTAGTCAATTTAAGAGTGCAGATGCTTCAGCTCTTTTTGTCTAAGTCAAAACATCTCAGCTTCTAGAATCTGTGGACCATTCGAAAGTCAGACTATTATTGTGTGGATATAACCAATCTTTTGGGAGCAATCACGTTTTCAGCCTTATTTCCCTGGGAACATTTGGGCACATAGGGAGTGACATGGATATGGATCAAAGATGAGCACATGTTGTTTTGTACCTTTTTTTGACATACGTATGACCACATTATTTGCATATTACTATCAGTATTTTGGGGCAGTGAGGTGGTGCAGTGGATAGAACACTGGGCCTAGAATCAAGAAGACCTATTTTCAAATCCCACTTTAGATACTTATTAGCTCTATGACCCTGAGTAAGTCACTTAACCTCAGTTTTCTCATCTGTAAAATGGGGACAAATGGAGATAAAATGGGAACACCAACCTCCCAGGGATGTTGTGAGGATCAAATGAGATAATGATTGTAGAGCACTTAGCACAGTGCTTGACATATAATAAGTGCTATATAAATGTTAGCTTTTATTATCATTACATTATTCAATAAACCCTATAATTAAATAATAGTAGCTAGCATTTATACAGCACTTTACAAATATCATCTCATTTTATTCTCATAGCAATCCTATGAGGAAGTGTTATTATTCCCCCCATTTTACAGATGAGGACACTTAGGCAGAGGTTAAGTACTTGCTCAAGGTCATGCCGCTAGTACATGTCCATGGACAGATTTGAACTCAGGTCTTCCTGACTCCAGGTCCAGTACTCTGTCTGCTGCACCACCTAGCTGCCTGAATTTATCATGAGGCTTTGCCTATGGGCCTTCAAAGTCCAAAACTGACTGAATCCATTTGCCCTTGGGGAGGAGAGGGGCCATCTCTTCAAAAGTAACTTGGTAAGGAAAGAGTTAAAATGCCGCTACCTTATGTTGCCAGAATTACTATAATAATAATGATGACAACAACTATGCCTGACGTCCCAATGATGTGGAGAAGTCTATAAAACAGAAAGAAGCCAAGTCCCTCAAAATGAATAATATAATCACATATTTAGTACACATTAGAGGTGAAATTTGAACCCAAGTCCTCTGATTTCCAAATGCATACTCTTCCCTCTCTCCTCTCCTTACCTAGAAAAGATGGAGAGATGGAGGCTAAAGAACAGCACAATTACAAGGATACAGAACTGGTTGAATGGTCTGATTCAAAGAAGGATAAGCCTTGGAAATCCTGGAAGGAGATTTCTGGCATGGTACCCTGAGGATGTGTGCTTGACGCAGTGTCTTTAAACACTTCTACCAAAGACTTGGATTGAAGGCAGAGGTGGCAAGCTTATAGAATTTTCAGAAAATCCAAAGCTAGGAGGGAGGGAGGGATAACAGAATAGGTGTCAAAACCAGAATCTAAAAAGCTTTAACAGACTAGGACATTGGGATGAATGTCCCAGTGCAATTTAATGGGGGTAAATGCAAAGTCTTACACTGGGAGTGTACATAGGTATATGATGGGGAGAGGTATGGCTGGCAGTTTGTCTAAAAAAACTGATCTAGGAATTTTAGTAGACATTGTTCCTGGCACATAGTAGGTGCTTAATAAATGCTTATTGACCAACTGACCGACTAACTTTGATGAGCACAATATGAATCCACAGGGTGATATGGTAGCCAAAAAAGGGAATGAGATCTTGGCTATATCAAGGGAGACATAGATTCTAGGAATAAGGGGATGATAGTTGGTAAGATGGAGAGAGTCCAAAGGAGGGTAGCCAGAATGGTGAAGGGCCTGAAGTTCATGCTACAGGAGGGTTTGTTGAAGAAATACAGGATGTTTAGCTTAGAAAAGAGAAGACTCAGGAGGGACATAGTAGGAAGCTAGTTTTTTACTCAATTGATGCACATTGGGCCACTGTGTGTGGTCCAGCCAAACAGGGGACCATATGTGCAAAGACCTGGAGGTGAGAAATAGATTATCATATGCAGAAGACCATTAGCAGGCCATTTTGATTGAAACACTGAGTATATGAAGATACCATGAAAGACTGGAAAGGTAGTTGCAAACCATATTGTGAAGAACTCTAAATGGCAGACTGAGGATTTTGTATTTTATCCTAGAGGCAACAGAGAATTGTTGAATATTTTTGAGTATGCGAGGGCACCATGTTTTAAGAATACCTGTTTGGTGACTGTGTAGAGGATATGTTAGAAAGAGAAAAAGACTAGAGGTGGGGAGACCAATTAGAAAGCTATTATAATAGTTCATACAAGACATGATGTGGGCTTCAACTTGAGTAGAGGTTGCATGGATCAAGAGCAGAAGATGGAGATCGTAGAGGTAGGAGAGCAACAAGACTTGGCAACTGATTGTCTTTGGGGTTGAGAAGGAAGAGTCAGGGATGTTTACAAGGTAGCAAACTTGCTTAATCAGAGATTAATATATAATAATATATAATAATAAATAAAAAATACATCAGCAAAACGGTAATTTTTGGAGGAGTGAATGGTTTTGTAGGTACAAGGGGTGAGGTAGAAATATAATGAGTTACTCTTGGAGTGTGAGATGCCTACAGGAAATATATATGGAGATGTCCAAAAGGCAGTTGATAGTATAGAGCCAGACTTTAGTTCATCTTCCTCTCACTCATTTTTAAAGATTAAATGGAGGAAGATAAGGGATGCTTATATAGATTTGGGAGTCATCTGAAGAAAGATGGTAACTGAATTATAACAGCTAACATTTATGTAGTACTATGTGTCAGGTACTACGCTAAATGTTTTACAATTATTATCTCATTTGATCCTCACAACATTTCTGGGAGGTAAGTGCTATTACTACCCCCATTTTACAGATGAGGAAACTGAAGCTTCTGGTCTGAAGTCAGATTTGAATTCAAGTCTTTCTGTTTCCAGGGCCAGTACTCAATATACTTTACTGCCTGATTGCCCCAATTGAAGGCTTGGGAGTTGATGAGATGACCTCATAATTATGATGAACACGTAGTAAGGAAAGAATCCCCAGGGCTGAGCCTTGGGAGATGCCACTATATTTAATGACTGGAAGAAGGTTGATGGCCAGTCACATAGGTAGGAGGAGGACCAAGAGACAATAGTACCATGGAAGTCAAGTGAAAAGCGTGATCTCAAATATATTGGCCCAACTGAACCCTTGGGGCAGCAGGGTGCTTCAGTGGATAGAACGCCGAGCCTCAAGTCCAGAAGACTCAGGTGCAAATCTGGCATTGAACACTTACTAGCTGTGTGACCCTGGGTAAGTCACTTAACCCTGTTTGCCTCAGTTTCCTCATCTGTAAAATGAGCTGGAGAAGGAAATGGCAAACCACTCCAGTGTCTTTGCCAAAAAAGACTCCAAAGTTTCTCTTGAAGGAGGTCTTGAAGGGTCAGACACGACTGAAATGACTGAACAGAACAACAAAGTGAATCCTCAAATAAATAAGAAGGAAAAGGCAACAAAAGGGACCGAAGACAATTGGCCGTGTTACCTTGAGGGCTTGTGGAATCTTAGCGAACAGGGGCATAGATTTAGATACGGAAGCTCATTTAGTCCAAATCATTCATTTTACAGATGAAAAAAAACAAGGGCAAATGCGGGTGCATTAAGGTCGATTCCTGTATTGAGACTGGGTGACAGATAATGTTGCTTTCTGATTTTCTAAAAGGTGCTGACTTAAAATCAGGAGAGCTGAGTTCAAATCCCATCGCTTAACCTCTTTCAACTGCCATCACTATGTGCTAGTGTGACTCATTTCCTTACCTGTAAAAATGGGGATCAATGAGAGGCAGGAGTAGCGATGAAGCTAAAGAGCTGGCCTTACAATAACAGGCACGTTATGCAATGACTAATATTGTTAAACTGAACCCTTCTCAGCATTACAAGGATCTAAGACATCTCCAGAGGCCTCGGGATGGAAAATGCTGCCCGCTTCCCAAGAAAGAAATATGGAAGTTGAATCTCTATCACTTATTTTTACCTTCTGTTGAGTTTTGTTTCATCTTTCTGATGATTCCTCCTATTGGTTTTAATTTTTACTTACAACTTCACTAATATGAAAATATGTTTAACGGGTATGTAAATGTAAAGCCTATATCAGATTGTGTGCCGTCTTGGGGAGGGTGGGGGGGAGGAAGGGGGGAGAAAAATTTTCAACTCAAAAGCATATGGAAGTGATTGTTGATAAATCAAAATAAATTAATAAAATTTAAAAAAAAGATCTGGTTTTAAAGTTGGGAAGACTAGGGGTCACACACTGGCTCTGTGACCCTACACATGCCAGTTCCCTTTCCAGTGCCCCAGGAGGCTCTTGAAAGCTCTAAGTTAGAAATAGTTACTGATCAAAGTGGGTAAAGAGAGCTTCCTCACTGGGAGTTCAAGAGTCTCTCTATCCCCACCCATCCTCCCTTCTGAGATGGAGGTCA